CTGTGTTCAGAAAGTAAAAATCTAAATGAGAAAGATCAAAAAGGATGTTAAAGGTGTAAATGCTAATGATAATTGTACAAATATTATTACTTACTTATTACATAGATAGACCAGCATTAAGTCTAACATTACACATTTATAGGTTCAATGTCACACTTGAGCAAAAGTACAATGCTTTGCACTGAATAACTTCCTGTTGTACACTTTTTTGCAGGTCCCAGTTCCATCACTGATGCCTCCTGGGTAGAAGTTGATCGTGGTCCAGGTGCTGTTTATATGCTGATAGAATATATACGAGTGAATGGAGGAACTAGAGTTATATTTTAGTTCCTTTATCCTTTTCCCCTCATCACACCTTAATTCCTGTTTTGTTTTTTTTTGTACATCAGCGATAAATTATCACGTAGGCTTATTTTGTGTGTCAAAGCAGCTAAATTGGGGTGCCCTGATAGCTTCCCGGGTAGAGCTGGCACCCCATGTAACAAGGCTGAGTCCTTAATGTAGCAGCCATGGGTTAACATCTGACCTGGTATTGGTAGACTGTGTGTGTGTGTGTGTGTGTGTGTGTGTGTTGAAATCTTCAAACTGTGAACTTTATTTCATTAAGAAGACAGCAATGTGTACAGTATGTGTGGTCACAAAACACTGTAGAAATTAAAATGAGACATTAAATAAACAGTCTTATGTAAGCTCAAACACATGGGGATTTTTTAAATTTGATTTGAATCTTTTCATATTGGTGTTGACAGACTCACAGGAAGTCCACAGGTCAGGAATACAGCCGCTACAACAGATGGTCAATCCGCCGACGCCAGCCAAGCATTTCCATGGTGAGTTTTGGTCAAACAAACACTGTAGTCACAAAACAGTGTCTGTGGATTTAAGCAAACACTGTAATTTTACATAATTGGTTCTTTCATGATGCCTCAACTTCTTCCTCCACAGCAACAGACAAAGTTGCTCTCCTGATTGGCAACATGAACTACCTCTACCACAATCAACTGTGTGCACCCATCGCTGACGTCCACGAGTTGACCAACCTGCTCAGACAACTGGATTTCAAGGTGGTTTCCCTGCTCGACCTCAACTGTCAGGAGATGCACAGCGCTGTTACAGAGTTCCTGTTGCTGCTTGACAAGGGAGTCTACGGTTAGTTTCTTGTGCATCTGGACAAAATATTCAAAAACTTGTTTTATATCTGTGTCTGTACTTTTAAAGACTGTAACAGGCTATACACTTCTTTAGCCCTACATGATAGTCAATTAAGCTAAAAAAATAAGAATCTGACTAAGCATCTGTGCCAATTTTACATACATAACGTTTTTTAAAAATACTTTTGATACTAGTACTACATGCTAGTAACACACCTATTCGTCCTTCCTTCAACAGGCTTGCTATACTTTGCTGGTCATGGTTATGAGAATTACGGCAACAGTTTTATGGTTCCCATTGATGCGCCCGCCTCCTACACGTCAGACCACTGTTTGTGTGTACAGAATATATTGACCAGGATGCAGGAGAAAGAGACGGGACTTAACGTATTCCTGCTGGACATGTGTCGCAAAAGGTGAAATACATTTTTCGAAATGAATTGAATGATGTGCCAGCTTTTCTTTATGTCAAGTTCAGATTACGTCCACCACTGTACATATTTATGCTTCTAATGATTTTCTTTTTAGAAACCCAAATGATGATATCATTGTACAGCCAGGACTGATTAAGGTGACAGCAAATATAGTGTTTGGATATGCCACGTAAGTTTCTGAGTCTTCCACACATTCGTTTTCAAACTGTGTTGGGTTTTTTTTTGCTCAGAATGAATCCAGTGTTGGAGACGGTAAAATAAACATACATGTCTGAATCATTAAAAAAAAGGTGTCACTGGTGTGTAACTTGTTGTGTTTAGGTGCGTAGACGCGGAGGCATACGAAGTGAAGAGGGAAGACGTGTCAAATGGCATCTTCATAAGCTTTCTCAAACGGCGAGTTTGTGAAGATGAGAAGGTCACAGTCATGCTAGACAGAGTGGCTGAAGGTATGTAGAGCACGTGAGATTGCTAACTTAGACCTACAAAATAATTGTACCAACCAGGCATGCAATAAGCTGCTATTGTTGCATGGAAGGTATGATTACGCCTGACATGTATCCAAAGTAGCTCCTATATGTGAATTTTCTTTTAGCCATTTATTTTGCTTTTGTGCTTCCTTGATTGTGCAGAGATTATATTCAGATTATTACTGTTTAATCTGCATCTGTTTATCTGTTAGTGACTTTATCAGATAATCAAAACTTACTTAAATGACAGGTGTAATCATAACTTTACCTGACCAACCACTGCAGTGTTATTCTTTATAGTGTCAAATGTTTCAGTCTTGAAGTTCCAGGGCTCTGGTAATGTGCATGTTGAGTCAATGAAGTGCATTACTGACACACCTAAATGAAACATCATCGTTGTTATTAGTTCCACCTGTCTGATATGAGGACTTCCTGTTGCAAAGTATTACTACCAGTTGCAACAATAGCAGCAAATAAATGCAGTTCCACATTTCTTCTGGTGCACAAAAATGTCGGGAAAACAATTTTCTTTGCCAGGGAAATGCACCAGACCCCTGTGAAAGTTTTCAGTTTGAATGCACCCGTAATGTGACTGTTTCTGTGTGGGACAGCGTATTCACAAAGGGAAAAAGATGGGGCTTGCTCTAATATTGAGCATGTTGCCACTCAGTCATATTACAGCATTGACAGGTGATGGAGCACACCTCTTTGGGTTCTAGTCAGATGTGCAACTCTTTAACAGCAATAATTAATGCATATTAAAATCTGTTTACTCTTACCAGACATGGGTCGTTGTGACATCACACGAGGGAGGCAGGCTCTGGAGCTACGCAGTAATCTGTCTGAACGGCGTTCCCTCACCGACCAGATTCAAACAGCAGAATGTTCTGCATCCTATTCAGCACGAAACCTGCAGTGGGCTGTTGCTCATGGTACTCTTTTCACTAACATTATATTAAATGATGAAATATTGAGAAAAATATTATGTTTGTTTACTTTATTTAATGTTAGCATGAAATTCAAACATTTTTCTCTTCCTTTGTAGTTCTACCTAAGAGTCTCTGCCTGCAGTTTGACTGCGGAGTAAAGGTTCAGCTCGGGTTTGCTGCAGAGTTCTCCAACATCATGGTCATCTACACTCGGATACTTGAAAAGCCCAAAGAGATTGTTTCCAGCTGTGCTCAGCTTACTGACTTCCCTGAGGTTTGTTAGCCAATATTACATATGAAGATTTGAGATTTTAAAGATACACAGAGACATTTGTTCTGGCCTACAGTGACTCGTCATGCTTGTGATTGGGAATCCTTCAGTGTTTCACAATAAACTATATCTTAAGCAGGAATTAATTTGTTATTGTGGATGCTTGTACACTGTGTTCTACGTCACTTTGGCAGGATGTGGAAATTGATCTGAAGAAGAGTAACCAGGAGACTCTGCTTGAAGCCGGCAGTTTGTTATTGATCAAGGAAGATCTTCCTTCACCCGAGCTCCCAAGTCGCTACACACGCATCCGAGGCCTGCAGAGACTTACGGTCAGAAAGCTGATAAAATCAAAATCAAAATGTATGTTGAAAAAGATGTAAGTCCATAATTAATTTCTCTAAAGCTAAAAAACACATTTTGCTCTTTACTGTCTCTATAGACGGAGCTCACATTCACTGTGTGCCTTCATTACACTTACTCCAACATGGATGAAGAAGTAGAGGAAAGGCAAACAGTGACAGTCGGTAAACCACTGGTCTCCAAACTCAACCTGCATGAACCACGACGGCCCCCTGCCTGCTCTGACTCCTCATCCTTCAGCCTCGACTCCTTCAACGTTCCTGAGTGCTCTTCCTTCACTGAGGGCTTTGCCTCTGCTGGTTCAGCCTCAAACGCGTGGTCATATTATGCACAAACTGGCAGAGAATCGTCCACCACTGACTCTCCAACTTCATCCAGAAGTGCCAACGTACCAGAGGAGACCGACAGTCCTGAATTATTTGACGTCCCTCAACCTCTTGTTGCCAGCAAAAGCTTGACCCACAGCCAACAGAATGACACAAACCACACATTTAGTGACATGTACAATTTTCATTCTCATTAAGCATTATGAAACCTATTCCCATTACACGCTGATAAATCAGAAGCACACATCAACAAAAAAATATGGGAAGAAAAAGCCTGTGAAATATCTGTTTCAGAGTCAAACTATGTTTTTGTTGTAAGAATTGGATACATTATAATGCACTGAAAATATAATCACACTGCAGATCAAGTTTGACATGTGTTGTTTGTAAGATGGAAGAAATAAAACATATTTCTGAAATGAATTGCATAAACTCTTCAGCTGTTATGTCAAACAATTTTGACACCCTATCAAATGTCATCGCTGCATGTGTGAGTTCCTTGTTCAACCTTTTAAACACTAAATGTGTGTTTGCAATCTATTTTTCAATCAATGTTGTCAAATAAGGGCAACTCGCTCATCTCTGCCTCTGCAATACAACTGTACTGCGCCTGCGCACTCCCGTCAACTGGCTCTCACCGCGGCCTCCATTTTGCAGCAGTGTTGCTAACCAGCTGCTTCCACTCGCGGTGCAGCGTTAGTAAATAAAGTGCATTCAAGGGTTGTTTTCAATCTGAAGAAGTACTTTCATGGATAAAACTATGGCTGACCCATCAGCAGACGTGGAGGTTGTGGAGGGCGCCGAGATCCGCAAACTGTCGGAGCTGAGAGTTATCGATCTGAAGGCCGAGCTGAAGAAACGAAACCTGGACACCACGGGCGTGAAGAGCGTGCTGTCGGAGCGGCTGAAAAAGGTCTTTTATATGCTCATTTCTTAAACTACTACACGCTCAGTTTTAATACAGAAGCGTGTGTTTTTGTGGCGTCGCGAAGGCAACCTGTCAAACCAACGCAAACGAAGCTAATGCTACATTAGCTGACGAGGGCCCATTGACCTGAACTGTGCGCTAACGTTAGCTGACGTTAGCTTTAATTAGTTACGTGCTGTTTGTGGCCTTTTTACATAATTGTTAGTTGACTTTGGTTGAGTTTTAAACAATGTCTTGTACAGTTTATTAAAGCATCCGTTTGTCGTTTTGTTTAAATCTCCATAAATAGGCAATCGAAGAAGAGGGTGGAAATCCTGATGAGATTGTGGTCGCTCCGGAATTAGCCCCAAAGAAATCAACACCTAAACGGACAAGCAAAGGTAAAGTTTACACCACGGATCATACAGCGTGTGGACAAGCTGTGACACCCATTAGTTTCTGTTTAGACTGTACTGGAGAGTCTACTGCTCTGATACATGATAACACTAACGCTGCCTTCAGACATAATAGAAAGTACATGAGTGTATGTGTTTTGTTTTATGTATTTTGTATTCCCTGTATGTTTGATGGTTGATCTCAAGGGGGTTTATCCTTCTTATAATAAAAATGTAAATACAAAATAAAATAATAATGCAATAATAGTATTCCAGTGTTACTTTACGTCAACCAATGTGCGTTTATTCCCTTAACCAATAGGATTGCCACTTAATGTTGAGTAATTGTCAGTGTGCAGTACTTGGAAGTAATGTTACACTCAGTTGTCATTTCATTAGGTGCATCTTCATTTAAAATGCTTTATTTAACTAAGAAGTCCCTTGAGATTGAACTCTCTTTTACAATAGAAACCTGGTCAATACAGCACACTAGTTACCATTTAAAGAGAAATAAAATAACATGGCCCCTAAATTCTTCCAATGGGACTAGATCATTAGGGTGTAGTAGGTTTCGCAAATTATACCAATTCCTGTAGCAAAGTAAGAGAAAGCTTTTTTTCCCCTGGCTCAGTGAAAACCCTTTAAGAGCGCCACCTGGTGGAACAAAGCTGGAGTTTCACTTAAACAGGAGAGTTTACCCAGCATGGGCTTGTACACAAAAATATATAAAATGAAATTGTCTACGTAGACTTAGTGACGTCCAGTCTACCGAATCATAAAGCGGGAACAGGAACCAGAGTTAAAACACACAGCACTATGGTACACAGGTTCGAAAAGGTGGATCGTAGTAGACGTAACGTGCACATAGACATTATCAGTCCAAAACACATACAAAAAGCCTGCACATCTTAAAACAAACCTCATTTTTTCATGAAGGATATAATATTCTGTTTTTGTTCAGACTGTTTTGGAGATCATTAAACTTCATGGTCATTTTTGGAGGCATTTTACTGAGAGTAGATAGCATCTGTCAGTAATACAATACAATACAATACAATACAATTAAAGAGCACCAAGAAGAAGCTTCAGCTTTCAAATGGACCACAATGTCCGTTTGAACTGAAACATAATGTTCATGAAGGTATCATTTACTTCAGGGCTGTTGTGTTGGACCTAAATATGAATAGAAACTAAATTAATTGCTTGAAGTTCCTTGAATAACATGTTAAACGTGTCTTACAGCGCCAGTGATCTCACAGTGATTGTAGAGGTGTACACCGTACATTAACAAACTGCATGTCAGAGCTAGAAGTAGTACTACTATGAGCGGCATGTTGAAAATGTGGTTGGACAACAGTCAAAAAGTTTGCACTTGTTTTTTCCAAGGAAACATAAATGGGGGTGAAATAACAAAAGCTACTTTTTTATGAGTCATAAAATGTCAAATTTTGAACAACAGTTGTTGTATTATGGTGTTGGGTGTGCAAAGTGTAGAGTTGAATCCCCACTTCTATAACACAATTACAGAACATTTTAAGATGCGTAAATGTAGCACATATCTCTGATGTATTGGATTTCATTAAGATTGTCCACCTCCGGTAGAATCTGACTCACAGCAGTTTTCTCTGATACCTGTAAGACACCCAGAATAAGACTTGTTCTAAACTAAAGCATACTTTGTGTAGATACGAGGCAAGAGAATGATGAACCAGAGGACAGCACTATCGAGGACGAATTCCTTGATGGCCATGTGAGTTTTCTGAAGTTTTGCAACATTGGAAGGTCTCCTGAACAACTGCAGTGTTGTTAATCTATCTTTTCAGTGTTTTTTTTTAAGTGAATTTCATCTTTCTTTTTCAGGAAGAGCTTCAGGATGATCATGAGAACATGCAGGAAATGGACATTCTCGACATGAACGTTCTGGATGAGACGGAGAATGACAACGGGATACCAGCCGAAGACGACCCCGACAATTTTCACGAAGACGCAGTGATGAATGAAGAGAATGATGACAGGGCCCTCGAGTCAGAAGATGAAGTAAGAGGTCCAGAGGTGAGAAACTAGACTATAAACGTGTCTACTAATTTTAGTCGATTATTTATCTAACTGGCCTAATGTTAATGCATTTGTATCTATTTCAACAGATGGATGAGTCCGAGATGTTAGATAATCATGAATATACGGCGTCCTCATCAATCGATATGGTATGTTCCTTTTCTTTCATGTATGTAAATCCTGTGATGAAGCTACAGTAAAACTAAATGTCACAAATGGTCACATTCATTAAGACAGTCATTCTTTTTTCGCAGGCTCAGGATCCAGATGCAGACGACTTGAAAGAAGAAACAGGTACTGTAGTAAATGGGTTATAAAAAGGTGGAGGCATCTTTTCTTACAGTGTTGAGCTTGGAATGCAAACACTTTGTTTAGTTTCAACCAGGATGAGAGACTGGAAGCCCAAAGGAAATTGCTGGCTTTGTGTTGAAATTGGGTTAACCATAATTAATAATATTACTGCTATATATATTTCTCAAGTTTCCAGTTGCGTTCTTGCACAAGTAAAACAGCAGTGGTTAACACTTCGATGCACATTGGCAGCAATTAAATGTCAAGGCTAGGGAGGTGTGAGCTGTTGCAGGTGATTGCAGTGTTTCTAGGTTGCCACATGAAGATCAAGACAAAGAAGATCAATCAAGATTCATCAACTGTTACGACTTTTTAAGGACACTGACTCAGAAATCAGCTGGATATGAAATTGCTGGACTTGAGCTGAAGTTTCTGGTCTTCACGAATGGACACTGGGAAAGTCAAAGGCTGAAAGAAGACGGGACTGCAGCGAGAATCTACCGCTGCGCTGCTGATCTTGTGGCTCTCTTCAGCGCTGAACTCTTTGTCTGCTCTGGATCAGGTGAACAGAGTGAAGTGGTTCAACTTGAGAGATGAGCCAAAGTGTCGCACTAGTTGCTTGGTTGTCCTCCAGCCTTTGGGTTCTTTTCCAGTCTCTCAGTAGGGTCTACTTCACCCTTTTAATACATAGTTCTAAGAGCACAGGCCAGTGGTCATGACGTTCCTAATCCAGGCCTTGCCAGTTCCTCGTTAACCATTGCTGTGTTTCAGAAGTGATTAAACTCTGTGCCATTCTATTCCTGTTAAATCCGTAGAAAATGACAAAGTAGCCGGGTCTTGTTTATCTGAGCCGCTTAACGAAGATCACCACCAGAGCCACGAGACGAGCCCTGAAGAAGAGCAAGCTGCCACCGCCGGAGGGGAAGAAAATGTGTCCGACATCAGTGCCAAGTCCGACAAGGCCGCTGGAGATGTGGAGAGCGACAGGGATGTTGTGGAGACTGATTCCAATGAGGTTGGGGACACGCAGAATGTCCCAGAAGAGACATTTGACGCTGAAAACAAAAGCTCGCAGGCTGTTAGTGTAAGCGAACAGGGTGCTGTGGGTGAAACTGTTGATTCAGAAATGGGGTCTAAGAAGGGGGAGGAGGATGAGAAGACAGAAGAGGAAGCTGCTGCGGATTCAGCCTCGACAGTGAAAGAGTCCTCTTCTGTAGAGGGCGATGATCAGACAAAGAGGTTTGTTGCTTTCTGTCTACTAGAAACCAAAATGGCTATCTCTGTTGCATTGGCTCCTTTGTGCTAGCAAAATTTGGATGCTCTTTTGGAGGTAAAAACGTTCTGTGCATTTGTTCGTTTTCATTTGTCATTCCTTACACTCACCTATCCCACTTTATTACCCATTAACGAGTAACGTACTGGGATTGCCATAGGGTATAGGTCCATTTATTCACCGTTAAATCACTGCACTATGGTACATGATGGGCTGGTCACTGTCAGTTATGTATTATACCATAAAACACATAAGTATATACATCTGTGTGATGAGAGATCCCAGGTATCCTCACTGCTGTATATTCATGGCTTTTTTTCTTTGTCTCTAGCTCTGAGGAAAAAGATGGCAAGACAGAGTCAAAAGATGACAAGGGTGAGTGAATTAAGTGGTATTTTCCTGATCGGGTCCTTCAAATTCAATGGATATTTGCTCATTGACTTATTGTGTATTTGTGTGTAGCTGCTGGAAGTGTTGCTGCAGCAAGCAGTAGCAAGAATCTGTGGGTCAGTGGTCTCTCTTCCACTACCAGAGCAACTGATCTGAAGACTCTCTTCAGCAAATATGGCAAGGTTAGTCTATGGAAACTATCCCTCGACATTGTCGCCAGGCCTAGAATTTACAAGTCATTTATATTTTATGGAGGATTCCCTGGTCACTTCTACATCTCTGTCTTTGCTTCCCCTCCACTATCTCTTTCCATTTCCTGCAGGTTGTTGGAGCTAAGGTGGTGACCAACGCCAAGAGCCCTGGGGCTCGCTGCTACGGTTTTGTCACCATGTCTTCCACAGAGGAAGCCACCAAGTGTATCAGCCACCTTCACAGGACGGAGCTGCACGGCAGGATGATCTCTGTGGAGCGGGTGAGTGTTGGAGGAAGATTTGTGCTTCATTGTAGTGTGATTGTTGGCTCTCCCAATGATTGTAGGTACCAGTCAGATAAACACCTTTTATGGATCTGAGTGAATCATTTGTACGCAGGACTCCATCTACTATTTAATTTAAGTTCTGTTAGGTGTGATAGGAGAACTTTAAAAGTTTTTCTAACCTGATGGATACAATCGTTATTACACTTCACATCCAGTCCTAATTAGAAAGCCATATATATATATATATA